GAAGATGAGGAGCCATGCCTCACATCAGCCCTATTTTTTGCCTGCATTCCCACTTGAATTCCTTGGATTTCTCTGTGTGAAGCTCTCCAACGTTTCCCTTTTCTTTTATGGCGAGTTTACTTCTGTTGTAAAGGTCAAACACAACCACCTCCAGCAAACAAAGATGTCCCCAAAAAACAAGAGAGGAGTTGATCCCAGCTGGGTGACTTCTCTGACGACTTCCCAGTGCCTTTCCCCACAGCCACGTGGTTTCATTGTGAACCACATCAGGACAATCTGCACCCACGTAACGCTGTTTTTATTGGCTCTGCTGGTCTTGTGGAGCTCGTCGTATGTTTCCAGAGATGTGTGTGTGTAAGACCTCAAGTGTGTGTTGTGTCTGTAGTGCTCAAAGGGGGATTTAGAACCCGATCCCCTCCACCTTGAGGGACATGGTCAGTGGGCACGGTGGGGTTGGGTTGGGGTTGGACTTGGGATCTTAGTGGTCTTTTCCAACCTTAATGATTCCTTGTTTCTATGGTTTTGACTGGTGGATTTTCTGTGCTTCCAAAACAGCATGTCTGCCCAGACGCTCGGGCTGTTCCTGGTGATTGGGGTAGACTTGAACCTTAGTGACAGAAAGGGATAAAAGAGATGTGAATAATTTCATTTTCGTTTTCAGGAGTGAACATGACATCTTATACTCTTCTCCTCCGAGAAAAATGCAAATAAAAATGAAACTGGAGCCAAGTGAAACCAGTTTGAGAGAGAAAGCCAAAGGGAAAGCACACGGAATTTCTGTGCTCTTCATGCTTGGAGCTGGTGGTTGTTGCTTTCTGGGGAATTTTGAGGTTTTTGATTAAATTGTGTGTAACCGTCAAGCCTATTTGAGTGTTTCCCACTCTCAGTCATAGCAAGAATAGAACATAGCCATGTCTGGGCTGGGCTGTAGTGCTCCCTGCACTGAGCAATAGCAATATACATCACTGAGTTATTGTTACGTGTGCCCGTACAGCATCAGAGCCCATACAACACGAGACATTACCTGGAGCACTCATCCTGCCAATCCATGTGTTAAAGTGCTTCCCAGGCTTTTGTGGGGTTGGGCAAGTTGATGCATCCCATAATCATGGCCTCCAAGAATCTCAGTTTCCCTCCTTCTCAATGGAGGATTACCGTGGGATTTTCAAGTGAAGGTGGGAGGGAGGAAAGGAGAAAGGTGTCCTTCCAACCCATAGAGCCAACTCTGCACATTCTCCATTTGCAGCCTGATCCAAAGCTCTTCTTTGAGGGGTGCCACAAATAAGTGGGATCTGGTGTCCCTGTGGGGGTGGAAGATCTCACAAAGTCCATTTTGGCAGCAAATCTCAATGCCTTGCAATGGCATTTGCTGACTAACTGCAGTCAGTTCCACCCAACCGGGTGAATTTCACAAGTGCTATTGGAGATGGAGCTCCTTACCTCTCCATATTTCCAGCAATTGCCTAAGCAAATCTGCATGCAACCACCAGGAGAATATAACCCTGTGCTGTCCTCTGGCTTTGGACACTCCAGACAAGCTGGAGTGGCTCTCAGTGGATGGGTGTAGCTCAAGGGATACGAGCAGATCTGATGGGACAGAGCAACTGTGTGTTAGACCACAGCTGTGCACATGTCTGGAGTTATTTTCCCCAGCCTTGTGCCTTCCAGCCTCTCTCCTTGTGAGCAAGCGATGTAGTCAAACTTGTAGGAATCCTGTAGTTCTGAGCACGTAGGCTGGTAATCACTGAGACAGCTGAAGCCTTAGATTTGTTTGCATAGGCTCCTACAGCAGAGCAAACATTTGTCAGATCTAAATTCTGTTGAAAGGTATCTCATTTTGTTAATTACAAAAAAAAAAAAAAAAAGAAAAAGTCATGGGAGAAACAATAGCGCAAATTCTACCATCCAATTTCCAATACCCTGACTGCCTTCTCTTGCACTTCCGTGGTTGCTCCATAGCTCTGGATGTCTCTTAGTTTCCACACTGACTGATGCCCAAATTCCCAGTCCCGCTGGACCCAGTGGAAGTTCTGAGTTAAACTGCCATGGAAAATAGTTCTTCAGCATTAAATGAACAGGCAGCAGGTAGGAAAACGGTGTGCTCTGGGATATTTTCTTGTAGCTGCAGAAATCCAGTTTGCCTTTCCATGGCCCAGAAAACCTCTGGGAACCTCTGGGATGCAGCAGGAACATCTTCTGTGGTGGAGCATGGAAGTGAGGAAGGCTACGTGGCTGTTTTTTTCTACAGAGCAAAGGGGTGACCGCCTGTCGGTTTTCCCTTGGGCCTCGTGTTGGGGTTTTTAGGAGTTCATCTGCTTGGGAAGAGGCTGATGCCGTCATCGCTGGGAAGACTGAAGAGATTTCTTTTCACCCAGACAGTTGAGCGAAACATTTGGGTGAGACAAACAGGGGAAATCAGTCTTCTACCACGACTGATCTGTCCTATTGCAACACTTCAGAATGAACACTGCCCAGGTGTGTAGGTGCCTCGGCTTGGCTTCTTGATCTTCAGGACTAACATCTCTCACGGGCCATCCATCCCATCCATGGACCCCAAAAGCCTTCAAGCCATGAACCCCTGCCCCAACCAACAGCTGCAGGTCATCCCCATTCTCGTGTCCATCATGTGCCTTTCTCCAAGCTCTCATCCCACTCCTTCCCAAGACCTCATCCCTGGAAACTCTTCCACCATGGTCATCCCCGTCCACCAGGCTTTGCAGTGCTCTGCAGACATAAAAGTTTGAGTTCTGGGCCCTTTCCTCCCTCCTTTGGCTTTTCATTCTGCAGCAGAGAGTCTTATTTCTTCTTGGCTTTTCTTCCTTGCTGGGGTGTTGGGAAGATAATAGCAGAGAACGAGTCTTTGCCGGAACGCTGGATTGTTGTCTCAACCCGAGGCTGCTGCCAAGTCACGGACACTGCTTCTTGTTTGCCATTCTCCTTCCTTCGCCTTTTAGTTCTTGCATTTTTTTTTCCCCTGACTCGTTTAACTCTGGTGTTTTCCATCCTGTGGTCAGGGACTGCAGAGATTTGGTTTGTGTTCGTGTTTGCTCTGCCCCAGCCGTGTGAATTTTGTCTTTCAGCTGTCCTTGTTGCCTTTGCTCTCCCTGTCTCATTGTTAAAGCCCCAAACTGAATAACCTTTCCCCTTCCGCATGGACTTGAGCGTGGATTTCTTTCCCTATCTCTGCAACTGTTACCATTTTGGTGCAATATTTGTAATCTAAATACGTGTGACCAAACACCCAAAGCTGAAAGTGCACCCAAACGGTTAACTGCTATGCTGAAGACAAGAGAAGAGCAAAACCACAATGAGGGAACGCTGAATTGCATCAGCAGTACTCCTGCACGTTGGAGCATGTGAGGGCTTAGTGCTCCATCAGAGGTACTGCTAGCTCTTATTTTGACATTCCCCTCTTAATAAGCGTTGCTCTTTATGCATTTTACAAAGCGGTTTGTATGATTGCGTCGCTGAGAGGAAACAAAGAAATGCCAGGAAAACTTTATGTGGAGGATCTGTACTCATAAAACGCTCACAGGCTCCAGCAGCAAACAGGAAAGCTTTCCCCATCTCCTTTTTTTTTTTTTTTTTTCTTCTTCTTTTTTTTTCTGTTTTGTTTTCATTCCCTGCCATTCAGTGAAGAAAACAGGTTGAATATCTCTGAAAACCGGATTTGATGGTTTGAGGCTAAACACAGATTCCTTCCCCTGCCATCGAGAATCTGTGTGTTCATCGTGCTGCAGCCAAGCACCAGCACTGAGCTTTGTGCTGGGAGCCAGTTGGCTTCCCAGTGTGGGACTGGAGCTCCTGTGGCTGCCTTAGAGCTCAGCGGAGGGGCAGCTCAGCTGACAGCTGGCTCTGGGGCTGGCTGAGCCACTGGTGGAGTTGTGGTCGGCCCCTCCCTGCACACTCAGGGAAGTTAATTAAATTACTATGGAAATTAAATGGCCCAAAGCTTCATCCTTTGGGTGACAAAAGCCCTTTGCTCTTCCTCCACTGTTCTGCTCACGTGTGTATGTGTTGCAAGCCATGATAATGTTGTCTTGACAGCCCATGTAGAAACGTGTGATGTCCAAGCTCAGTGGGAGGGTGCAAGATGCTCTAGCCACATCTGCTGGCAGGAATTTTCTCTCACTCCAGCTTTCTGGAGGAGGAACAAGAGGAAAGTTCCCTCTTTCTAAGCCCTCTTTCTGCAGCAGTGGCTGCATCTGAGAGCCCTAATCAAGCTGGGCAGATCACTGGAGATGGTTGGATGTAGAAGCCAAAGATAGGATGCAAAAGCAAAGGGGCTGCCCAAGTGTTTCTTCCATTAGTCTATTGGGTTTTATGGGAAGCTGCAGTCTTGGCAACAGGAAGCTTGTTGGGCCCTTGTCTCTCCAGCGAATCACTGGAGAACTCCTGACGTTGCTTCCCTATGTGATGTCCCACTGCTGGGCTGGGGCTGGCCAGCTCTTCCCTGGCAGAGTGTGGAAGCAAGAAGTATCTCACACAGAGACATAGGAGAGATATTCCTAGAAACCAAAACCGTGTTACCGTAGAATCCTAGAACCACAAAATGGTTAGGTGGAAGGGACCTTGAAGAATCACAGAACCAAAAAATCATTGAGTGGTTGGATTGGAAGGGATTTCAGTGGTGACAGAACTGAAGAACCATGGAATGGTTGGGTTGGGGGGACCTTAAAGATCATGGAACCGTAAAATGATGGAGTTGGAAGGGAATCTAGTGATCACAGAACCAAAGAACTGTGGAATATTTGGGTTGCAAGGGACCTTAAAGCCCCACCCCTGCAGTGGTGTGGGTGCTCTCCAACCAGCTTAGGCTGCCCAGGGCTCTATCCATGGCCGTGGACACCTCCGGGGATGGAGACATGGCATGAATTCAGCCGTTTTATGGATAAATATGGTTTCTAGTACCCTGCTCAGAAAAGATGTCCCTCATTCTTGTTGCTTTTGTACCAGTCCACACATAAAGAGTGTACTAACGTCTTCCTTTGACTTTTCAGGCGACAGCAGAGACTTCCTGGTGGGAACAAGTCCCAGCAGCACGCAGACCATCAGCAAGGTGGTACCAAACACAACAGAGATCACCAGAAGCTCTACCAAGGAGGTCAGGCCCCTCACTCCTCCGGTAGACCAGGCCACCACGGCTACAGCCAGAACCGGCGATGGCACCACAACCAGAAGCACTCGCCCAATGACAAAGAGACGCACAGGAGCACCAAAGAGACTGAGAATCTGAAAATCGAGGACACCTCCACTGGCACAGGGCACAGCCCCGTGGAGGCGCAGCGCAGTCCGGAGGCGGTGGAGAAGCAGTCCCAGCCGTACAGCCCAGAGGTGGAGACCAAGAGGAAGGACAGCATTCACGAGCGCGTTGGGGAAAGGCCCAAGATCAACTTGCTTCAGTCTTCCAAAGACAGGCTGCGGAGGAGACTAAAAGAAAAGGTATTATTTCTTAGGGGAACTTTGGCTTTCCCCTTCTCCATGAGCCTGGTGGTTGGCCGTGCTCCATGCAGAGGTGGGCTGGGCTCGGGAGACCTTTCCACGAGCGCACACAACTTCTCTTGATCTCCTGGTGTCACTGCTTGTCTTGAAGTGTCTTTGTGCTTCTTTGGGAGGCCCTTTATTGACACAGCATTAAGGCTCACTCAGTGAGGTTGCTCCTAAGGGGAGTTTTCCACGGTCAGGAACTCTTCCATCGCTTGCAAGGATGGGGCACTTAAGATACCACGTGGGCTCTCCCTCCTCAGTGGTGATCTCAGCAGACTGCCTCCAGTCTGCAGGGCTCATCCGCTCCCAAAGAGGTCTAAAAACGGCAATTTGTGTCTGGAATTAAAGAACTAGAGCCTAATACTGTGCTTTGCTGAATGTTTGGAGTCAGCTACTCTCAAGTTGATATCCATTTATCTCAGTAATGAATTGAAACTCCCTTATCTTTCCCCCTTCCTTCCAACAACCCAACAATAACAAAACCATTGCTTGCAAATGACGGAGGAGAAATCCTTTCTGGAAACAATATTCAGACTCAGATTTCTGAGGAATTTGGAGATGATATCTCCATTTGCCCCTGTGCAACTCAAATTCCTTCTCTTGAGATTCTCTTTTCAGACTGGAAAGTGCATTCACAGGGGTAACTCCAAAGAGATTTTCAAAATGTGCAGCAAAAATAACCTGAGCATATACAGTTCCATGGGAGTGCATGTTGGGAATGTACACCTTTGAGTGTATGTGCGTTTACTATTTATGTATGTGGCATAAGGGGGAGGAAGAGATTTTGTCCACTATTTTTATGTTATTTAAAGCAACGGGAGTAGAGCAGAGACTTTCGGAGTATTCACTTCAGTGCCTGTCTTGTGGATTTAGAATCCTGTAAGAAAGACTTCCTTTAGGCACCCACTTCTGGGTGTGTGCAGTCAACACAACTGCTTTGTCAGTTGGTGCTGGGGTTGTCCAAAAAATGGCTCCAGATTTACTCTGTGCAGTATATGTTAAGACTGAACTACAGGAGGAGAAGGGAGCAGACCAGAGCAGGCTGGATACATGGGGAGGGATGGACAAATGCTTGATTAAGTGTTCAGAATGCCAGTCTGAGCTGGGCATTCCAGTTTGGAGCCTTGAACACATCTCCCTGAGCTGATGAGGGAGAATCTGGGATTGAGTACTGGGCTAAATGAGGAAACAGCGCATTTATGGGTGGGGGCTCATACACTGCTTGCTTTCAGTGCTGAGGTGGGGATGCTCTGATTTTGTTGGGTCTGTCTGTATGTCTTCCCAACCCCTTTCCCCCTTTGCACTTTGTGGAAGGACAAGGGCTGACCTATCTGTTTTCTCCTTGTGTAACAGACGCCTTGTCTTTCCCTTTTCACGGACCAGGACGAAGTCACAGTGGAAACCACCCACCCTGAAAAGAACAAAATGGACAAATTAATTGAAATCCTTAACAGCATGCGTAACAACAGCAGTGACGTTGACTCCAAGCTGACCACCTTCATGGAGGAGGCTCAGAACTCCACCAACTCTGAGGAAATGCTTGGGGAGATAGTTAAAACCATCTACCAGAAAGCAGTGACAGACCGCAGCTTTGCTTCCACGGCTGCCAAGCTCTGTGACAAAATGGCCCTCTTCATGGTGGAAGGAACCAAGTTCCGGAGTCTGCTCCTCAACATGCTGCAGGTAAAGAGAAGGAGTGATCTAGTTAGATGCTTGCAGCTTCACCCCACTTGGTCCTGCTGTGCTTTTGGGCAGGAGCTGGGCTTTCACCAAATTCCTTTCCAGCCCACGTGATGGGAAGTGTTCCTCCAGTTTTGTTGGTGACAGTCCTTAATGGCTAGCTGTCATCTTCTGCCATCTCCACTGCCTTCTAAGTCTGTGGGCAGCAGCACCCACGTCAGCAGTGCTCACTGGGGATGTTTGGTTGTGCTTGTGTGTTTTTTTTTTCTTCTTTTTATTTTTTTGGAGATTAAAACTTGGTCTAGAAACGCATTTATTTTTGGCAACAGATTTCCACGTGGAAATGAGAGGAAAGCTGATAAGACTCTATTGTCTGTCAGGTTCAGGGCTCTGCTGCACTAGCAATCAGTCCTTTACCATGGCCAGGTCTTCCATCTCCCTCTGCCATCGTTTCCCTCTTGTACTGTAGTAGTTCTGGATCCTCCAGCCAGGGTGCTCTGCTGCTTTCTTCAGGTACCTTTGACACGTGCGTCGCAAAAACCAACTTGTATTTCTTCTTGTATCTCCCAATGTTTTTCCCTGAGCCCCTTGCTTTTGAGGCTTTGGCTGCTGGAAGGGCTGAGAATGAGGAGGGTGGGGGTGAAGTTGAGGGGATCCACGTAAGGGTGGACATGGGTACCAGAGCACACCATGGAGGGCAGGATGGCTCCTTCCCCACCCAGAACCCACAGTGTCATTGGAAAGGGATCTCCATGGCCAACATGGCTTGTATTTCCTAAGAGTGCAGTGAAGGAGGACTTCTTAAGTTCAGTTCTATGGCTGAGCAGCAAGTAACCAATATATTTGTCATTTTTTAAACATTAAGGGGTTTTAATGTTTGGTTATTAGGTCTTTTAGGCTAGGTCATTATCTGGTCTTGTGTCATGGTGATGCTTATCAACAAGGGAAACTGACAGAGAAGGAACAATAATGGAAACCCCTTCCAGCAGACCCAGCGAGCTGATGTGTGTTGCAGCACTGTGTGCAGTAATGAATGGATTCACATCCAGCTCATTGTGGCACGAGAGCAGGATAAATAATAGATCTCATTTCTCCAGAGTCCCTGAGTGCTTCCCAGGGGCACAGAACTCAGCTCGCCGTGCACAGGGTGCAGGGAGGGAGCACAGTGCCTGCTTTGAAGAGCTGCAGAGAAATCAAACAGAAATGAGAAAAGCACTTTGTTTTGGTAGTGAAGCATCGTGACATTCTGCAAACAGTTGGCTCTTTTCTTTTTCCAAGCAGAAGAATCAGTGCACCCACACAGATTTGAGGCATCCTCTGGTCAGCCCCAAATCAGTCTTTCTGTGGCACATTCGGGTTTGGAGATGGAACCTTGTCCAGGGAACAGAAGCTGTGAAACTGAGGAGTTGGCAGTGCTTAGAAAAACCCGCTATTGTTGAGCTCCAGCCGTGACCTCGCCACCATCGGACAGATGTTTTCCAACAGCTATTTCTAGATCATTTCCCATTAATTAAAAACCTCTAATAAAACATTTGCTCCGGGGCTGGATTTTTGTCTCTCCAGCACCTTTCAGACTAATCCAATCCCTGGACCTAAGGAGCTCACTGCACCAGGGTGTGATAAATCGGGATTGCGGTGCCGCTCTGAGCCACGCTCCCCCATATGGTGCTGGCAGATGCCTCTGTTTTGAAGGGCTGGGCAGGATGGACTTGTTTGTCCTTGTTTGTTAGGAGCAAAATGGCTGTGAATCTCCTCCCTGCTAACAGCTCCTCTGAAGAGCCCCTCCTGGCTGAGACAGGGCCAATGAATCTAGGGTGCCAGAGTCTAGTGGTGTCTGCTTTGATGTGAAACAAGAGGATGGATGTTGGTAATACCGTAGGTTACATTTTGTCCTCTCTGTGTGTTTTTGTACCAAATTCAAGCTTGCTGTTGAGTTTGGATTCTGGGAATCCACTGGGATGCTGTGGGGTGGGTGGCTGGGCAGCTTTGGGGAGATGCTGCTGACCCCAAGCTTGGCGCTGGGCCTGGTTTAGTTTGGAGTTTCCCCTCATTGGGTTTGCTTTGGATTTCTCCTCATTGCATTTGGCTTGGAATTCCTCTTCACTGGGTTCAGTTTGGAATTTCTCCTTGTTGTATTTGGTTTGGGATTTCTCCTCGTTGAGTTTGGTGTGGGATTTCTCCTTGTTGGGTTCAATTTGGGATTTCTCTTTGTCGAGTTCCATGTGGGATTTCTCCTCGTTGGGTATGTTTTGTTACCAGGAGTGATCTGGGGGTGTCTGAGCCCTTGTGATGGACACAGCTGAAGTGGGAACCTTGGGGGACAGTGGCATGGAAAATGTCTTGGTGGATAGATATGTGGTTTCTTTGCCCCTCTGTAGGTCCTTCTGTATTTAATAAATTGAAGGCTCCTGCGGGAGATTTTTGCTTGTCATAGCATCAGCCACTGGCTTCTGCTGGCCGTGGTGCTTTTCTCTTTGGTGGGGAGGTGTTGAGCAGTTTCCACAAACCCTCCACATGTAACATTAGTTGGAGTATTCCTCTGGTGAAATCTCCCTGCTCTTTATAGCTGAGATGTGTCTGCATCCGAGCTATGCAGAGCGGAGTATATTATTAGAGAGGACATCACTGGGGCTGTAATTTTACACTGCTCCCCTTAGCAACCCAGCCAACAACACATCAAACAGAAGGCTGATACTTAGGAGAAAAAAAAAAAACAAAAAAAAAAAATAGAAATGGAAGGTGCATCCCTGTACAGTGCCCAGCACAACCCATCACAAATGCACTCAGCCTGGGATGAAGCCTCTGCGCTCAGAGATACCTCAGAGCCAGGGGCCAGAAGGGCTATTGCTGTTGCACACCTTTCTGCATGCCCAGTTGCATTCCCCATTGCATACCCTACTGCTTACCAAACTGTATGCTCTTCTGCATGCACTTCTGCATGCTCTACCGCATACATGTTTACATTCCCTTACATACCAGTTGCATACCCTAATGCATACCCAATTATAAACCCCCTTGCGTATCCTTGCAGGGATTCTTCTGTGCTCTTCAGCCTTATACTTGTTCAAACACAGAATTTGACCTGAGAGGTTCTGGTTGCTTAACCTCCTGACACTCCAGTAAGAGCTGTTCCACGGTTCGGATTCTGTGCTTCTCTCTAGTTTCAAAACCTGAATTGAAATCCTGAGACTTTTGGCGTGACTCACACCGGTGTTTGTGTGAACTGTGCTGGACTGGGGATGTTCAAAGGGAGCACTTCTGGAGGGAGACAGCCAGGAAGGTGGCAAAGGCCGGTCTTGTCTTCTGTAAGACACGAGACTTTGCAGAAGAGTCAAATTGAGCTGGAATCACTTTTGTGTGGGAATGTTGTGGCGTTAGTACTGGAGAATCAACCGACAGCTGATGGTTGGATTTATGATCTTGAAGGTCTTTTCCGACCTGAATTGTTCTTATTGATTCCCTTTGATAAATCAGAATGCAAAGGGCAGTGCTTGCCATGCTGAGCACGGGGATGTGGGAAGAGTGAGCTGGGCCATGGCAGGGCTCAGCCCCCCTGTAAGCTCAGGATGTGGTTTGGGGTCCCACCATCTCCCAGGAGAGCATCCCCCCCAGGCTGGGCATGGAGCTTCCCCGTGCTCCTGGTGCATCAGGCATGGACGGATCCTGCAGCACTGAGCAGAGGCTCTGCTGGGCTCTAGGTGGAGACTGTGGACTGTGCAGCCTGCCCACAGCCTTCCTGCAAACCCAGCCAGATCCAGGCAACTGCTGCCTGCTGGGGAGCCCAGAGCTGCTCCCACTCACTGCTGGGGTGAGGATACTCAGGGCTGAGTGAGGTATCCCCACCCTGGGAAAAAAAAAAAATGTAGAAAAAAGCTTGGAAATCCATCCAAACGCAAAGAAATTCAGGGATTCTCCCAACATTAAGAACTCGTTGTGCCAGGCTGGATGGAGTCTTAAAAGCTGCTCTCATCTCACTGGTTTTGTTGGGGAGAGGACTCATTTTCTCTTAAAAGGCTCAAATCCATCCTCAGGACATGAGATGAGGTTTGCCAGCCCGGGGACTCAGCTGAGTTAATGCAGCAGCCTGCCAGGCCATCTGCTGCCACTGCCCTGCATCAATCCAGGTCAAACTGCTGCAGGATTGGGAAATCCCTGCTCCCATGTTGGCCCCCTCCATCAATAACCGTGGGGGCACGGAAAATGTGTTTGAGTGTAAGAGGTGGATCCAAGCTGCTGGCAATGTCTCTGTGCCCCCAGGACTGAGGTGTTTGGTGTGAGCCCCTGACAAAGCATCACCAGACCTGGGGACCACCCTTCAGCACCTCAAAGTGGGGTGAAGTGAGGGATTTCCCAGGGCTGGTTCCTGACCTATCAGCAGCAACCTCAGGGAGCAAGCGTGCAGTGCGCTCAGGTGAGGAGCAAGATGCACTGCATTATTTTTTTAATAAAGAAGGATGGAAGAAGTGTATGGAAAGATGCTGTCTGGCACTGCTGGAAACCCAGCACTGATATCACCTTTGGGCCAGGAGAACCAGTAAGTGAAATTGGAGACAGAGAGCTTGCAGTGTGTGTAGGGTATGGACGTGCTCACCTGTGTCATCTGGGTCCCACTGGACAATGTGTTGGCCAGGTGACCATCACCTGGGTCACACTAGAGGAGGATGTGTTGACCAACATCACCTGGGTACCAGTGGAGAACGTATCAGCTAATGTCATCCAGGTCCCACTGGAGGATGTGTCAGCCGGCGTCACCTGGGCCACACTGGAAAAGGATGTGTTGACCAGCATCATCTACTGGAGCAATTGGGAACAGATTAATTGATCTTTTTCATCCTTAAAAAGAAAAAAAAAAAAAAAAAAAAAAACAGCCAAGGAAAATATTTGCTATAACAGAAGTTCCCTGTTACAGATCCTTCGTAGGATCTATAAACATTAGCACACAAGGAAGACTTTCTGCAATCTTTTGTGTAAATAGAGCTGGATGGTGACATTCTTACTATGCT